TCTGGAAAATTTTAAGCTTGTAACCGTATGTTTTGAATTGTGAAAATTTATACGTAAGCACTTGTCATGAAAAAAAAAACGTTTATCTCTTTAAGGAGGCTCCATCGCCTACTGCGGTAGTCAAATCAATGACGATCGATGCGATGTCACGAGACGAAAGCTTCCTTGTATGCTAGTAGTATGTTGGTAATGAAGTTTGTTTTATTTTCAACTGAATTCACTTGATATTATATATAGTATACTATACATTTCTACAGTCAGCTGTCGAATAATCTAATATTAACGATTGCCGTAATTTACTGCGTTATTACGCAACAAACAAAATTATTTGAAAAATCGTTTTAAAAGTTTTCATGTTATTTTACAAATTCAAATTTTTTTTATTGCGCGCGCTTCCTAGACCAATATAGCTGGCAGTGTTTGTCACTGCTCTCACAGAACGTAACTGCAAACCAAAATAGTATTTTAGCTATTTTATCAATTTTTTTTATCACCAACGCCTATAAAGTCACCCGATTTCTTAAAGATGAGAATGTCAGGGTTACGGTACGTATATTTTTTTTTCTTGTACATTCCATTTTAAACTAAATAAGACCCATAAAAATAAAGATACCATTGGATTAAGCACGATCTGAGCTTTAATAATATATCATTCAAAGTTCTTGTACATTCTGTGATGGAGCCTCCTTTTAAAATGTTAACTGTAGTGGTACAAAGTATATCTGAAATATTTATTAAAATTTTTCGATGACGAAACAAACGTGATGGTTCCTTTGATCCATTCATTGGAGCTGGTAAAAATTTTGTCGAACACATACACATCCCGAAAATAAATTGCCAGTTCGTTTATTTTCGGGATTAAAAAAAAATCTCGAAAGATCAAACGCGAGCACGAGCCGTTAAATAAATGTGTCGAACTTTAATCCTCACTTTTTGTTTGGTAGAAAAAAATCCACGGATTGAAAAAAAAAAAAAAAAAAAAATCAGAAACGGATTCATCGAAAAAATATCTAACGGATTCCAACCACGAAATTCCGTGGTGTAGTAGCTCAATCGCACGCACGAAGCTGTATAAATGGAAATTGAGATAGGCCGCAACCCGAGTATGCATACTTCCTGGAGATGAATCTTTTCTTCCCCTGCAAGCACGCGTGCGCTCGTGTATATGATCGCTTGTGTACACGCATGAGGGAGTCGAATGAAAAAGTAAAAGATGTATGACGCTCTGACCGAAATTTTTTCCCTCATTCCATGTACCGTTGTTTCAATAACGTTTTGCACCTTGTTTGATCGAAGCTGCATATAACGTAAAATAACTCAACAGATTGAAGCAGCGGTGGCACACGTGTCGTGCAATCACGCGTGCGTCGTTAAAATTTTTCATCGAATTTTGTGGGTGTTGGATTTTTCGTATTACACGCAATTTCGCTCACGTTTACATTGGAAGGTGTAATAACAACGTCACGTGGTTTCGTTTTAACGGTTATTCATCATCGTGACTTTCGATCATTGAATTAATATGTTATATTTCACCTTTGTACACGAAGCTACGGGAAAAATTTCTGATAATACAATCAACTGAATATTGAGCATCCAAAGATTCTTCCAAACAATGTTTGCACGCATGACGACAGCCCTCTTCAATCAAAGGACCCGTTATAATTGCCCCTGATGGCACTTTTCACTCAACAGCCAACCGAGTCATAAATTCACCCACATGCCACTTATGTGCACGCACTCCTCCCACACGTGTTTACCGATGCCTTTGTACCCGTGCAAAGATACTGGTGCACCAACAATACACAGCTTCCCTTTCTACTGGCTTCCGTGTGCACACACACATACACACACACGTATATGAGCATTCACTCGAGCGTGTACATATTTCAAAGGCCCGGCCTCTTGTAAACTGCTCCAGCATACAAATAAGCTCTGCCTGTGTGTATGCTGTCGGCTACATCCATACCGTGTAATATTGCCTTGATAATTGGTATGTTACTGAAACGGATGCTGTTGCCTTGTGGGTACTTGACTTGGTCGCTTCGCCACTTTGTGCGTCGTATATATGCGTCACGTTGGTGTTCGAGCCTCTTTGCGCATACCTAATAGCGTCTACAGAACATCTCCGAGACATTAGTGCTCGTGTGCATGTGGGCCCGTGTGGCGATACTTAATAATACCTATATGGGTACACATCTTTGATCGGTATTATCTACTTATACGCGCACTGTAAACAAAATATAGTGTGTTAAAATACACGTTTAAAGCGCGTAGGCGAATTTTTTTTTCTTTTTTTTTTTTTCTCAACGATCGACACAAGACGGCTTTAGAGAGTAAAACATTTATGTCAAAGATTCTACACACTTACCAACGTGTAAAAGATGCGACAGTCAAGTTTTTTCACTCTACAGTCTTCATGTATTTGTTTTTCCCTTTCAAAAGCGTTCAGTTTTAGTGGAACTCGTTAACCACTTGGCGCACCATAGATTTGTTTATCCTTCAAATTCTTATCAACAGAACTGCAACGCATTTCATATAAAAACAAAAATTTCAAGTACTCACTTTAATCGTGTACTCGATAACACACTTGAATTAACAGTGCATAGCCGAAAACTAAAAGATGACGTTTGGGTGCGACGCATCGCTGCAGACACGTGAGAGGAAGTACCTACATCCTGACTCGTGACGTGACAACTTGGAGGGAGAAGACGGACGGGGGTGGCACCTTGATTGATCGGGTCGGTAATTACCAGTATCATCTGTACTTCTGGACAAGTAATGAACTGTGTGGTGTGATTTAACGGGACAAGTTGTCCGGTGACGTTTGAGGACGATCAGGCAAAATTTAGGTTTTTCAGGACATCCACGATATCATGGACGAGTAAATATTTTTTCACGTTTGAAATCCTTGTAACTCGATGAATGAAAACTCGATTGATGGGTATTAACGTGAATTAGCAAGGTTTATCATTGGCGTATAGTATACTTTGGTGAAGCTTATAATGAAATGATATTTTATCATTCGTCTACTCGACAAAAACACCCGCTCCGAGTGTCCGAAATGATTATCTCATCAACTTTTGTACAGCCCCGCCGTTCGTTTGACATTATAATTTCGATAAATTCAATTTAAACCATACATCTCTTTGTACTCATCATGGGACTGATAATTACTTTTGGGATTTAAAACTGTCGATACATGTTTTACGTTCAATAATTACGCATATACTTGAAATATTTAATCCTGTACATTTTACGTCCAACTTTTCGCCTTGTTTTTTCGTTATCTTACAGGTTGCATAAGACCTCGTGATTGATTAGTTGATGATCACAACATAACAGGCTTGTTGCTGAGAAAATCAATTGAGATTTTTCATGTTGAAATACCATAAATTTTCAACAACTGCAAATAAATATTCATTTCGTGATTGTGTACTTGCTATGCGAACAATTTATTACTTTTAATACGCTATGGTTGCTAGTCTCTTGCTCCATCGCTATGTAAAATTGACGCTGAACCCCCGTCATCCCCTCCCATATTCAATTGGATCAGTACTCAAAGATTTTTCACGTACTTTCAGTGGCTTGCGTGGCAGTGCTGAAGAACGCACGTCTCAACGGCGTGGAGGTCCAGGTAAGCTCCACCAACCTGCTGGCGAGCCTCGAGCCAAACAGCGAGCCCCGCTTCGACATTATCCTCGTTGGCGATCTGCTCTACGACGAAGTCATCTCCACGAGGCTCGAGGCGTGGCTTGAGCATCACTGCGCTCGAGGCGCGCAGATCTACTTGGGGGATCCGGGCAGGCACGGTCTAACGGTGGGTTTGCGCCGCAAGCTCGAGCACCTGCGCACCTATCAACTTCCCGAGAACGTGCGCTTGGAGAATCATGGCTACGGGGAGGCTGGGGTTTGGAGATTTTCGGGAGGACGCTGATTGTGTGGACAATGGTTTTTTCAAGGGGATTTCGGATTGAAAGTTTGGCAATTTGCTTCGAAACGCAACTGCCTCTGTCGAGTATTTAAACGTATACTAAATCATTTTATACAGATTAATTTTTTTTTTTTTTTTTTTTTTTATGGAAATAAAATTTCAGTTTACTTGAATTACCCCAAAAAAAAAAAAAAAAAATTAATACGCTTTTTACACAGACCCTGTAGTTTTGAAATACGTCACATTTGCGTACGAACGAGTGGATGGTACAAATACTGTCAAAACTACGTCATTACGTAAGTATTAGTACCAACTTAGTTCCCAGTATTTATACACAGACTCACGCGAGCGAATAGCCACAGCGAAATGGATAAATTGTTGCGATTCGGAGACAAAGAGGGAGGAGGGCGCGAGGCTGCTGCACCTGAGAAACACATTAGCATGTGAATCCCTTTCGTAAATCATCGCGACTTGGATTTTAATTTGGTTTGACTTTAAATTCTAAACGAAACGGCGCGTATAATAACGCTCCTTTGATTATTTTAGCCGAGCAAAATTGAAATAGTACACACACCTACGCGCTTCTCCCTCTTTCTCACCTCTATGCCGTGCAGTCCGCGCCCGGCGAACTTTCAGTAGTCATTTCCAACTATTGCGTATATGTTATCACAAGTTAAATGCAGATTTCGCGCTTAAATTCAAATTTAGGGCGGGTATACATGTATGCCTGGACACAGAGAGCACTACTACGGGCGACCAACGCGAAACAAGAAACTAAAGAATATCATCCGTAATTCGGTGGTATTATGGTTAACTCGAATTCACACGAATCGATGGACTGTGCTGTGGCTGTAGTGTCCTTACACAATTATATCGCGAACGGCCACTACTGTAGCACGTCGCATGTCCAAATACCATATCATTGTTCAAGTATCAAAAAACTTGTGACGAGTAAAACGCAGCAGCTGAGCTCGTTAGAGTTAGTAAAGAAAATTATAATAATGAAAATAATAAAAAAAAAGTTAAAATTTTTAACAAGAGAATTGCAACAGTGGAAAGGTGTACCGACCTGCTTGGTGAGTCGAAGCTCGAGGCTGGTGTTGTGAGTGACAAACTCCGCGGACTTTGGATACGTGACGTTGGTGAGTTTGATGCGGCACTCGAACCTCGTGCGATCTGAAACCCAATAGTTGAGTAAAAAAGGACCCACGACATTTTTTCCCTTTCAATGGCACACATGGGCCATAGAGCTGTACGTACACGGGTGGAAGCTAATGGACGCGAGCAGAGTAAATAACAAAAATAAAATAAAGACCTGTACGTATCTCCGGCGACTATTGATTGTCCTCGTCACGGCGGACTCGGGTACTGCGCGAGATAACAAATCACGGGCGATAAATCGCTCGAGTGTACAGTGTACGCGCGTACCACCACCCCCAACGGCTCCTGAGAGTGTCTTTCTCAACCCTCCCCGCAAAAACGAGGAGAACGACAACGATTTCGAGAGAAAACTCGTGGTTTACGGGGCCCCTGGATTGTCTCCCATGCAGATGCATTGTCGAATCGCGTATACACACGTGGACTAGATAAATAAACTCACCGCTGCGGACGCGAATCGGCTTCTTGCAGTGGCAGGGCCTCCGGCGCTCTCCCCCGTGTTGTTCCTGCAGCGACGCCAGTCCCGGTGGCCGCTCCCCCGGGAAGGGGCACTGGAAAATGCAGTTGGCCTCTCGGCAGTCCTCTGCAAAAGCCACAGAGTAAGAGTAAGTGGCGGCAGTGGTGGTATGAGCATCCACCCTCCCCCACTCTCTCCCTTACGATGCATGTTGTCGAGGGAAAAATAGCGCCGATCGGGCGAGGAGGATAGCAAAGGGGATGGATACATGTAAGGTCTGGGGGTGGGGGTGGAAAGGAAACTCTGTTTTGACCGATGTGGGCTAAAATAAAGCGTAGTCATGGCACTGGGCAGTGACAGATATATATATCCGCGATGGATCGTCTAAATCGAGGAGCGTGCTTGTTCAGCTCTCGCTTCTTGTTCTCGGGAGAGGTATTGCACCTCTTTTTTTCTCTCCTTTCGTTCGTGTGCTCCTCGGGAGCGCGAATCCTTATTTTTCGGTTTGCAGCACCCAGTCGGGTCTATACATATACATATACTTTATTCGGTCATTCCCTGCACAGCCACCTCCTTTTGGCGTAATTGCACAAGTGTGCACCTTTGGAATGTGGGTGTACAGCATTCCGATTAAAGACATGCCCCCTCGTTCCTTTACGCTCTTATTATCGACTACAGGGTGCAAGTATGTACGTCGGATCGGTTGGCTGAGGGGAGAGGACGAAGAATGTTACTTCTATTGGAATTCTGAACTATACTTACTTCATTTTTTTTTTAAAGAATTGGCGATCGATTCGAGACCACTTGGATGTACGCTCGGAATGTGATATCGAGGTCGACCGTCTTATTCGAGTAGATCGAGTCAATAAATAGTCGGCCCGTGGCGATAGTCTTTTTTTGATTCACTTTTTGGAGAAACTCGTGTATAAAAAAAGATGAAAGCGATCTCCATAACAAATCTTGACATTACAATTTTACTGCTTACAAACAGACGAACCGATTATTAGTTGTAGGTGATTATACACATACATATTTGTATCGCTATACACATGTATACGGCTATAAATTACTTGATTGAGCAATCAATACGGCTATCGGGGGTTACAATGATATCTATACGTACACGCACACAAATGCGCGCTGATGCACCTACACTCATTGTATTATATAGTGATAATTTACGACTTGGTTGATATCTATATTTATAAACCATTGAAACCATCCGATGCACGTGTGACAGTAATTTTCAAAGTGATTATTATTATTACCATTATTATTATTGTTATTTATTATTATTATTATTATTATTATTATTATTATTATTATTGTTAAGGTGCACGTAATGTAATCGCAACTGTATTTGGATGGACTATTGAGAAAGTCCTTGGAGGGAAAAAAATATCCATTACAAACCCTGTTGCAAGTATGTTGGTGATACTTTGCGTCAATTTTCAATCCCACGTAATAAAAAATCCATTCAACTACCAGCTCTACCTTATACGACCTTCAAAAAAAAAAAAAAAAAAAAAAAAATCCCCACCCATTCCTTCACCGCGGACAGACGTATAATGAATCATCGAGGGCCACCCACACACACCCGATCGAGCCAATATTCAACAAACGCGTCGCCAACAGCGGTAGCGGTAGCCCATATATATCTCCAATTCAAACGTGGTATATATACTATATATACATACATGCATGCGCGCGTGCACTCTGTTTGGTATACATGTGTAGGGTGTAAAAGCGCCCGGTGAATGGACTACTAAGCAATGGCTTACCACCAGTGGCGCTAGTCAGTTAGCCAATCTATTCCTCGTATCCCATTCTCTAATTAGCGACCGCACCGGCTGCCGCTTAATTTTGCAAATCGCTCAGACCATCGCCACACACCTTTCTCATCCCTTGCGCCCCCGTAAATGGTCGACAGTACTTGCCGATGCTCGATTAGATTTTGCGTGGCTCGCACAAACGCGGGATCCACACCGAGCTGGGCTGCTCCGATAGTTATCATCAAATATCGCCGAGTGCGGTGCTCGTATATCGCATGAGCCGTGTCAACGTATGCGCGCCAACATCCATATATTCCCAATTTTTTTACACTCACAATTGGGTCAAACGTATAGGAGCTAATGAAATAATCGACCTGTTGGTAAACGAGATCGATACGCGTTATCAAATTTAACGCAAAGCAGCACAAAATCCGGATCATTCAAGGTTTCAGCGTTACGGAATAACATCGAATTCGCGTAGTAACTGCGCACTCGGTTTCACCGAAATACCGGGTACTATGAATATTACTCGAGCAAAATTGCGATGCACGAAATACCAAATGCTCCGCAGCCGTACAATTTCCACCTAAGCAAACGAAAGGGGGATTCGATAAAAATCGCGTCTACGAAGAGGGAAATTCCGGTAATGGAGGTGATTATTCAAAGAATGGCAATGGGACAAAAACGAAGAGAGAGAGAGAGAGAGAGAGAGAGAGAGAGGGAGAAGAAAGGTTGTAGGTATGATAATTAAATTCATACCAGTTTCGTGGTCGTTGACTGACGAGAATTCACAGAAATCTCCGCTGAATTGCGGACTGCACAGGCAACGCACCGCTGCCGCTCCGATGTGCCTGCAACGAGAGAAGGATTAATCATAAGTATCTATCTTGAATTGTAAAAAAAAATGAATTAGCTATTTATCAAATGGACTAAGGAAAAGTTTGCATATTAGAATGGAGCTATACTCCAATACTATCACAAGGTGTACGTTGTGGAGTATCAGTCTATACACATGTATGTGAAACACATGACTTGAAATCATTTACGGGATTATTAACACCTCTTCTATATCGATTTTTTCCGTTGAACATTTAACATAACGATTCGATTGTTTTTTCGAAAATTTTTTCACGCATTTCATCAAAAATGAGAAATTTGAATAAAACACTTAGATTGACAGTAAAGCTCATACAAATAACGTAAATCATCAAGTCCACGTCAAAAATGATAATCACAGAGTGAGTACACGATAGGGATGCGTTGGTTGTTGCTTACCTGCAGGTGCCCGAGTTCTGGCAAATCGGGGTGCCCCGGTCCGTGACGCAGAGGGGCCCGTGTCCGCAGTGCTCGCCACCAAATCCCTCGAAGCAATCGCAGTAAAAGGTCCTAAATGAAGAGAAACGCCGCGTTACTCATCACCATCATCATCTACTAGACGCTTGTCTTATACTCTTGAGCTGCTGTTACCCTCAAGTTTGAGTCTAAATGAGAGCGAGACCGAGAGATAGGGATGGGGGTGGGTAACAGTGAAGGTTCGGGAGATTGCGCCAAGTGAAATGGGTCTCGGGCGAGTTGTAGGTGCAATAACGATATACTATACGTATGTGTATATATATATATATATTATACCTCCCGCACAACCCCTATGCATCTGTACTGTATGTGGTCTACTCTGTAGCCTCCACAGGAGATAATCATAATGGGCTGAGGAACGACGCGAGGCTTTGGTGTTATTAATTGCTTTGACTTTATCAATTCTGTGATGGTTAGCCACGACTACCAGTACTATTTTTGCTGCTGCTGCGGGTATATTATTTTTGCCTTGATATTTTTCCATTGTTTTGATGTGAGGCACTGATTGAAATTGAGTTAATAGATACGTAAGATTGACGATTTTTTTTTTCTTTTCAATATGTGTTACTGTATGTTAGCCTGTGATACTGCTTCTACCGTGAAGTATTTATCTCATTTTATTCTACTAAACTCGACGAAAACCTTATCATTAGATATCAGAACTTGACCCGCTGTGTTAGCGTCTACTTTTAAAAAGACAGCAAGAGTCGTACAACAACTAGTTAGCATCTATATGTATACACGTACGTTACTAGTTTGCTGTAATTTATCGCACACGCAATTTCAAAAGCCAATTCAAGCGGATAGGTACACCAGCCAATAAATCTTATTTCTTTCGATCTCGAGAGAACATACGTCGCGTGCAGTTCAAGAAAATAACTTTTCATTTATATATATCAGGGAGCGCGCGGTGGCTCGGTCGGCTAGGTCGTGGATTGGCACGCGGGAGACCGTAGTTCAATTCCCGGCCAGTGCGACATTGTCGGGCAAGTACCTCTGTGATTGTTCACATGTGCTTTTTCACCACGCAATGCTCCTCGAGGAGGGTTTAGGCGACCTCCTCGCAGCAAAGTTGCCTAATTCCCCCTACCCCCCTCCCAGTAATGGGGGAGCCTCCCATCCCTTTCCTTGTCCCTTTCCCAAGTGCTAAGTGCCCATAGTAGTGCCCTTATTAAAGGAGCCGGACGTAGAGCACTAAAAAAAAAAAAAAAAAAAAAAAAATTTATATATATCGAAAAGTATATATATGTATGTGTGTATGAAACACGATCGACCCTCCCTTGTAATCGGGTCGTAAAGATCAAACGCATACCCTGTAGTAAAGTAGCAAAGATAACGTTTCATACGGTGTTTTTGTTTTTGTTGCTTTACTGGGTTTTAGTTGTGGTTTCTCATTTAATAGCTCTTGTCTGTACACTGTTGGCCAACGTCGTTTGGGAAGGGCAATTAAAATTTTATGATCCGATAGCTTCCCTCTATAATACACCCGAGGACAACAAACTACGGCCCAATTGTAGTATTTTATGTTTTAATTCGTGTGCCAATAGATCGAATGGTTTGCTGTTTTATCTCTGTAAGGAGAACATTTCATTGCCTACCAAACTTGTTTAAGGTTATTTTATCGTTTTATAACAATCAAGTTTCAATAGCAAGGAAAAACTTTCTGACGAACGAGCAGGTACTCAAACCCACAGTCATTAAGTTTTCACGAACAAGTGCCCGCATACGTATGATGAACTCCCACTTCGTACTTGTAAAAACAAGCAAGTGGTTGTGGAAAAAGTTTTTCAGAGCATCGGAAAGCTTCGGTGGTGCAGTACACGTACTCATAGCGCGTCGTGGGTGCAGGGCACACGACGACATTCAAGGGCTCCAAGCAATCCACTACAAGCCACTGCTCTTGCGGTTGACTGTGGCATAAAAAAAGTTTGAGGATTAGTTTCTGAAACATTGGCTTCGATCCGGGGCTGGAGTTGGGGGTCAGCTGTCTTTTCCCTTGCGCGAAACGTTGCCATTTTCGTTTGGTTGGCCGAATGGCTCCTTAAAACCTTCCTGTATAGTGGCGACTCTATGGGATATTGGAAACAGCTTATTTTTACAAAAAGCGAGTACTTCTTGGGTTTTACGGTATGCAGCTGTTGTGTGTTTTTATATTGCAGTGCAACTCTGAAAACATCATTTGTTGGGCGATACTCAATTAAGAGGTGTCCTACAATGTCTCTTTTGTCGTGGATGAAAATTGCAAAATACAAAAAAGCCTTTACGAAAAAAAATGTGGACGGGGATTTAAAGGGGATTCGCGAAATTCAACGAAATTCGTAGCCCAGCTCGGGTGGACCGGTTAATTCGAAGAAGCTCGAGCTAAAGGGGTTTGTCTAAATTACAAACTTCTGTGGGCAATTTTAATTTATCCCACTACTTTAGCATCTCTACTTATAGACTTACTTCCTTCCTTTCACAATCGTATTACATCCTTCGATACCTCGTGGGTATTCTGCGTTTCGTCCATGATTTAACAGCTGTAAGTGTACGAAAATTCAAGAAAACGAGATACTGTTCTCTCATTGGTGCTTTCAACCATTCAAGTGGTTATAATAGGTAGGCTGGAATACAGAGACGAGTTTCTTTGAGGTGGGGTTTTTTGACTTTGCCAAAGAGTATAGTCAGGGTAAAGCCCACATATACCCTCGGTTATGATTCTTTAAACTTGAGGTATGGTGGGAAAAGGGGTCTACAAGCTTACCTTTGGCCCTTTCACTATCTTTTATTTTATTTTTCATGTCTTGTGAATATTTGACACTGCAGGAACATCAGACAGTGTTTATTGAGGAAGAATTTAGTGGACATTAAAAAAAAAAGATGTAACGGTGAACTACTTTTTGATCCGCAAAGCCGAAGCTTTTATTCATTTTCTTCAAAGATCTTTGAATAAAAAATCAAAGAATCCACATGGGCGGACACCAGTTTGGATCGAGCTTTTTATGCTAAACGACTTTAATGCATCTTTTCCACGGTAACATTTCTCTTTTATACTCCAAAGTATACCTTCATCATCGATCGCAGTTGTATACTTTCAATATGAAAACACGTATACAACCGTAGTATACGCGGGTACTTAAGTGCACCAGTCCAAATCGTTCTTTACAACTCATTTGACTAACATGAGGCGCCACGCCAGGAGAATACAGGCCGCGCACGTTTTCTTGTTTACAAGACTCGCATGCGATACTCAAATACGCATCAAGGAAAAACAATCTAGAAAGCTCCGAAGAGCGTTTTTCGATTGATGAAGTACTTGCACCGTTCCTGTTTCCTCTCCTTCAAAAAAACGATGAAGTAAGCAACTTGAGAGTGTTATTTTTTTGTTTGTTTGTGGGTCCGTTTAAACAGTTTTCAACACAGCAGAGGGTAAAGTGAGCCAGTAATATGCACGGAAAAAAATCGTCTCGCGCAGGCTCGAGTCTGCTGCTGATTCGACATGCCGAAGGACCCAAACGACGCGAAGGGAAGAGCGAAATGCTGTCTCCGCAGAAGAAAGAGATAACTAGGGTCAGACTACCATACGCGCTGGTTCCTCATTCATCAGCGACTACCTTTGCCTCCTCGTGCTCTTCTCTCGCCCCCACCCCTTGGCATGCAAACGTACAATACAGTTTACCCGCGATTGTGTGTACATGAGTATAATGTACAGAGCAGTTAATACACTCAAGCTTCGTCCCAGTCTCGTCCCAGAGCTTAGGTATATTTGCGTGTGCGGTGCTCAGCTCACTTCCATCGTTGTTGGTACGCTGCAACGTCCTTGTCTTCACCGCTGTGCTCCTCTGACGTGCGGGCGTTTCGGATGGCACTTTTGGTAGCGTCGGGGAGTTTTAACGGGAACTCCGTACCTATATTTGCCAGAGTAGAACTGTCGGAGCAAACGCGTGACTATACGGAGCTGGTGGGACCGCATTCGGTTGACGATCTTACGCGCCTTGATGGAGCCCATTGTCTTTGGCGACAAAGTTTGTATGCGCCTGTTTGCTTCTAATGATTGTTTTGCAAAAATTCATGGATCCGTTACCTGAACTGTTTTCACTTATTGGTTTCGAAGACGTTTACTCGTTGATCGCGGAAAAAAGAGAGAACCCGCTCGGAGGAGATAAAAAAAATTGCTGTATTCGCTGCCGCTGCCTCAGAGTGTTGGCTTTATTGTGGCGGAAAAATTCGACGAGATGTTGGAAACGTGGAAAGTATATTCATACGTGTATAGTGTGGGTCGAACTAGTACCTGCAGAGATAATAATAATGCGCAGCTGCGGAAAAACGCGTGTCGATGAAGTTACCGAGTTCTTGGATAAATGTTTCTGTAGAAAATTGTATGTTGACACGGTGCTCGAGATAATGAGAAGAAATACTTCAGGGAATACTTGGTTATTGAACAAAAAAGGGGTTCAGCTCAACGAGTTTTATTGTAAAATTTAAGTCTTTTCGTTTTATGATTATAGTCACTGCTTGAAAAGTTGCATCTCGACAACGTCAACTTTTAAAAACTTGGTTTAAAAAAAAGTTTGTCTTTTCAGGGTGACTAAGAATATTTAGTTAGTTAATGCAGAAGTTTAGGTTTTTATTTCAAGAAGACGGATTACAATTATCAAGTTGATGGTAATACAAGTGCAAGGTTGGTAAATTATCAAATTTTCTCCATTAATTTGCTGCCAACCCACCCGTGAAATTTTTTATTTTTTTTTTGTTGCGTTATGTGAGAAACTTGCTAAACTTTGCTCATGAATCTCAATTTATTTTCAGAATCAACGGCTATAACATAAGCATAGCGACGCATACTTTCTGCTGCTTTTGCATGGTGTGAAATAAGATAATATAATCAGACCATCAGTATTTTGTGCATAAATTATTTATTGATATATATTCCGTAGGTAAGAAAAAAAAATTAAAGCAATTTTAATTAAAGCGAAGAAAAGTAATTATGACATGATTGCAAGTGCGAATTTGTAGTGTTGGAAAATGTCGGGATTTGTTCTTTATAGCCAGCATGCAATATTTACATTAATGAGAAACTTTAAGATACAAAGGACGGTTGTGTAATCATCTGAATAATATCAGGGGAAAATTATGCAGACGGCGTTTACGCACTGCTGAAGGGGAAATGCGAGTAGTGAGAATAAAACGTTCTTTACAGCACCGAGATAACATTTAGTTTAATCTCTTATACTCAACATTTTTAATGAATTTTTCCAGTTCAGAGGGTATGGGTTTTCCTTCTTTCTAGATGACTGGCTCTTATAAATGGAGTAGATATACTTAACTATAGAAAGTCGTTTGGCATACTTGCGAAAACCTTTAATAATAAGTTGTAAAAAATTAATAGTAATGGACTTCTTTCTCGTTAATGTAGTATTTTTCTCACGACACGTCCAACAATCAGTTGAAGTACGTTGAATCGATTATAAGCTCTGTTCTTCTCTTTATCTTTTAAAGAGAAGCAAAACAGAGTGAGTGTGAAAAAAAGAAGAAAAAAAAGACTCGCAGGATACGCGAGCCAGTAAATTGTGATTATCAGTGGTTGAAATCGGCATCCATTGTCTGGTCGATTTCATTACTTTATTTAGTGCTGGCTGCCAGTAATTTATTGCTCGAGTACAGTTTAAAACCATTAATCTGCCCTAGTGTTTCACGTAGAAGTTTCGATCGCGATGATAACCTTCAAAGCTTTCTTTTTCTCTCTGACGAATTTCGTTTGGATTAAAAGTAAAATAAATTAAAATGTTTAGTAAGCATGTTTTTACATCAATAAGAATTTTAATAACAATAATAATTTGTTCCAAACAATTTGAGAAAAACTTTGTCCCGTTATTCAATTTATCAAAACAAAACTAGATTTTTGCTCTGGCTTCTTTAAAAGAAAAATATTTGTTAGTGATAATTTTTCACAATTGAAAAATAAAAGACACATAAAGTTTGGCATATACATATTCAACACTTTATTTTATTCAAAACGAAGCACAAAAGAGAGCATTTTTTATTTCATGACTGAAATTACGATTAATTTACTGGTAATTAAAGTTCATGTCATTTTTTTTTTTTTTTTTTTTTTTTTTTTTTTTTTTTTTTTTTTTTTTTTT